TGAATAGTAAATGTGGCCAGTTTTACAGCTACCACATCACCCATTGAGAAGCAGTACTACTGTTACAACTACAACCACCACCTTTACAACAACATATTATAAAACTCTAGTACACATGTGGGTGAACAACACTGTAGTACACATGTGGGAGAACCACACTCTAGTACACATGTGGGAGAACCACACTCTAGTACAGATGTGGGAGAACCACACTCTAGTACACATGTGGGTGAACCACACTCTAGTACACATGTGGATGAACAACACTCTAGTACACATGTGGGTGAACCACACTCTAGTACACATGTGGGTGAACAACACTCTAGTACACATGTGGGTGAACAACACTCTAGTACACATGTGTGTGAACAACACTCTAGTACACGTGTGGGTGAACCACACTCTAGTACACATGTTGGTGAACCACACTCTAGTACACGTGTGTGTGAACCACACTCTAGTACACGTGTGGGGGAACAACACTCTAGTACACATGTGGGTGAACCACACTCTAGTACACGTGTGTGTGAACCACACTCTAGTACACGTGTGTGTGAACAACACTCTAGTACACATGTGGGGAAACAATACACAAGTACACATTGTTATATGGTTTTATCAGAAGGCTAGTTATTCTTCTTTTTTTTTCAGTTAGAGTTGTTATTGTTGCTTTAACTCTTGCATTTTCTTTCCATAATGCTCATATTAATTGCTGAAATTGCGCCGTTAAGTATTATAAAAAAAAAAGTTAATACGTACCAATAAAACACAAATATTGAACAAACTCAATTATGAAATGCGACAAGGCGTTGCCAATAACACATTTAAGTGTTGCTAAGGCAGTTATGCGTTGCTACTCACTCAGGTGTTGCCAAACGCAAATTCACCAAGGAGTGTCTAAACATCTGCACACACGCACACACACACACACATACACACACACACATATATATATATATATATATATATATATATATATATATATATATATATATATATATATATATATATATATATACATATACAAGCTGTACCAGGCCACACGTTGATGTAGCTGGAAAAGAAAGAAAAAATATAAGATAAACCGCACGTACGTAATATGGGTTATGTCATAATGCCTGTGGGTATGCAGTATTTATTGTTGTTCTGTTGTCTGTCAAGATATAAAGAATATCAGTTTTGCCGACTCTAAAACATGCAATATAAAACTAAAGATAAAGGATAGCATGCGAACAATATGCAATAATATGCTTTGCTATAAGCTGACTCGTTGCCTAGATAATGATATGTGTCGTGAATGCTATTAGCACACATCCTAAGTTGACATAACTGGCACAAGCCGACACCGACTTAAGTACGATACATCTGTTTATTGACATCTTCACACTTACATGGTTGTCCAGTCCTTGTCCTAGTAAACACCTTTGACACACCACATCACGCAGACTTCAACATGCTGGTTCCTCACGCAGTCACTGACCAGAGTCTGCACCGATGTGTCTGGTTCATCTTCTTGTTGTTATACAGTATGGCCTGGCTTGTCTTGGCTTCAAACGTCGTCGGCTGGTTCAACACATCTAACTTTTCACTGGAATCTAAACTTATACCACGGGTTAGTTTTACGTGGTCGGTATTTGGGTTAACCTTAGGCCTTCCTCCCAACCTTCCTAATCTGGGTGAAAATATCCCCAATTACACAATATGATTGCAAAACAAAGCAAGAATTTGATGTGAATGTGATGTGTTGCACGCGTCATTAATGCCTACATCACAGTGTTGGTCGCTCTCTAATAAATACAGAACTTGACATGCACTACGGAAAGCGGCATGTGAAGCACCATTGATAAATCTCAGTTGCTGGAAAGACGTTGGACCGGGCACATTTACCAACTGCATGCGAAGAAAGAAGCATTCACTTTAATTGTGTACAGTCTGCTTATCGTAAGTTCTCTGAATATGCAAGGTCTTTCGTCGACCCACTCTTCCGGTTGGCGTCGGTGAAATAATTTTCTTCTCGTAGTCTATGTTCAATACGTAGGCACTTCCAAATACAGTGGTGCTTTTTGCAAAAGCGGTACTGATATAAAGTGAAAAAAGCAGTTAATTTTGTAGCTGGTGGATTCAGGGCGATTTGGTGCACATTTCCAACTGTGAAATAGACGCGTTGTCCATTTTGTAGATGTATGCTAAGCAAACAACAGCTGGATTTCGCTCAAGTTGGTAAAAATGATAGAATTATCCATACAGATTCATTGCCTCTTATGTATCTGCCAACCTGATACTGTGCAATTTCATCGATTTTTACGACCGCAGTCCTATCACCTCTGTCTGGCTGCAGGTCAAAAACTGCCATGTCTACGCCTATATTGACGTACTTACAAATGTATTTGATGGATGTAACGGAATGACGATATTATATGCGCTTTGTATATTTTAGATAGCAAAGGTGAATATGATACAATCCACCGGTTATCTAACTCGATATCACCGTGTCGTAAAAATATGGTTGCTAATTGACCGTCAACATCTGCTGATCTTTGTCTATATAAAAGGATATCCATCGTGTCCTGTAACTGTGTCGGATACTAATGTTGGAGGATATCGCTTAGAGCAATGCCCGTCTACCATGCATGGTGAATTAGCATTAAATGTACCGCGAAGTCCATGTATCTTATGTTTCGTTACAACATCATGCAAATCCTTATCGATTGTGGGATCGGGTATTTCAGCACATATTCCGTCGTCTATTTCGTTTAAAGTGATGTTGTTATAAAGCCACACAAAAAGTATGTAAGCGTGTGGCAATCAACACAGTTCCACTGAGTACATCCAGCATCGCACAGACCCAAACGCCTCAAGTGTAACCATTACATCCATAAGCGACTTCAGTTTCTGCCTGTAAACACGTTCCGTGAGGTCATGCCTATCCATCGATAATTACATAGAAAGTAAGATCTGTTGTAAATCGTCCCAAGCTGGATTGCATGCGAATGTAATGAATAGGTCTGGACGCCTGTAGTGACGAACTAGTGCATTTTGAATGTACTTGTGCATATGATGTGGACTGCCTGTGAATGAAGATGCGAACATCGAAAGTCTTCCATCGTTATTTGTATTCCCGCCTTGTACAACTGCATCTCGTAAACGAATGTATTCTTTAGAGCGAAGCTCGGCCTGATTCAAACGGACGAATAGTTCAGTTACAATCGTTGCATACATATCAACGCTAAATTAGTGCAACAATTGACTGTATTTCAAAATGTGACTGTCTTCACTCTCTCGCATTACCAATCAGTACAAATAATATATTCATTGCACTGCATGTCATATTTGTATATTCGCCACTGACTGGATTTATCATCTTACTGTTGAAATGATTTCCGTCGGCACCACCCACCCCAAAAAAGTGGGTATTGCAGGGCATCGTAGCATCGAAGAGTTTTTGCAACTCTTGTCAACTGATAGTTTCTCTGATGAAGAACTATATCTTCAGGTTGAAACTGATCTCCGACTATAACAATGGCCACCTCGTCTGTACTTGGAGCATTGCATCTCCATACATGTTCTTTCTCCAAAAGGCGTTCTGTCAACATGAATAACAATCGTGTGTGTATCAGATGACATCATGCCAAGTGCTGTTTTGATCAAACGCACTAAATTGTTTTGTTCGTGAAGACGTTCTTGCAGTTGGGAAGCTATGGACCGTCTTATGCCGGTAGAATATCCACAGACAGCATTCAGTTCATCATTGCCGTGTCCGATTATCAGACTTAGCACCATCAATAGGTGTCAGTATACGGGTGTTACTTTAAATAACAATAAAAGTATGTGTTCACAGTAGTACAGTCTTGCCTCAGTGAATGATATCAGTAGTACACCACCTAGTCTTGGCCCAGTGGATGTCAGTAGTATACCAGACAATGTCTTGACTCATTTTATGATGTCAGTAGTACACCAGATGAAGTCTTGCATCAGTGGCTGATGTCACTAGTACACCAGACACAGTCTTCCCCCAGTGGATGATTTCAGTAGTACACCAGATACACAGTCTTGCCTCAGTGTATGATGTGAGTAGTACAGCGGACACAGTCTTGCCTCAGTGGATGATGTCTGTAGTACAACCGATAAAGTCCAGCCTTAGTGGATGATGTCACTAGTACTCTGTGTGTGTGTGTGTGTGTGTGTGTGTGTGTGTGTGTGTGAAGTTCTCAGAAGACGGACCTAAAAACATATAAAAATCAGGACTGACAGAGTGAAATAGGTACGTATTGTTAGCTATTTTTGGCCGAGGGGCTGTTGACGTCAAATGGAGGTGACGTCATCTCAATCTGACGCGAACAGGCCCTCGGCCCAAGATGGAGACGGCTGTGTCTAACCCCTGCCACTTAATGTTAAACGTCAGGCATATCCCATGTGCTGTCCTTGCTGCATCATTCTTGTCATAACGAAATGCTTCTAAAGTGCCCTTACAACATCTAGCTTGTCCCGCATCAGTTTTTTATACTGTGGCGCAGAACCAGCTAGCCTAACTCCCTATTCACTTCTCAACACACCGACATATGCTGCAGACAATCTTCAGAGGACTCTACCCGTGACCGCTGAAGGGCGGCACTCTTCACGAAGCATACCGGTCGCTACCTTTCTCCACATGCACTGTGAGTTACAATTACAGAGTGGGCAGTTTATTCTCAAGCAAGTGTAAGGCTGCAACGACCGCCTCCACCTCCATTCTGAAACTTAATAAAAATTGTTTGTATACGGTTAAAAACAGACATTTGAAATATTATCAAATGTGCAAAATTATGCTAAAAAATCAAACATGTACACATTGTAAAGCAGGCTACCCTTATAGTTTACCCCTAATCTGGGAGTTGGGGGAAGGGTGCCGCCATCAGGGTTAAGTGCCCCTGCTTCTAAGCCCTTTTTGGGACATTGATAATACGTAACCGAAACGGTCTGCTCGAGGCTTCTGTGCTTTAAATTTTTTTTTTCCATCTAAGAATATCTGCGGAACTTCACTTTTGTGACCAGAAACCCGTGCCGAGAGCCCAGATTTTATGCCGTGAGTGACACAGCAATCGACCTGATGTGTACAGGCTATGGACTCCAGACAACGGTTACTATCAGCGGGCCAACTGTTGGACACCTCTGTTCGGTTCATGGGGCCATAGGTCAGCCAGTGACCTTGTTTTCTATTTTCACTTTCACCTTTAAAATGTTTCTTGTCAAGTTGTGTTTTTCTGTACTGCTTTGCTGTATTATCTATGTTTTTGTGACCAAATCATCCATTTATAGCAATTTTTTTTCAAACTTTTTTGTGTGTTTAATACATGCTTGAAAGCTGGTTGAAGGAATCCCCAAAACCCAGACAGTAAATCTTGTTCCCATTTACAGATATTAGTTTCTATATACGACTTCAAGCTGCAGTCACTTGGACCCCTGAATGACGAAGGATTGCCCCCACCCCACCCCAGTGCCAAATATCACTAATAACAATTTGTTAAAGTCAAGGCTGTGTTTCTATAAATATGTTATTGTGCCGTCTCCGCAATGAAAGTGTGCTACAGACAACAGTAGAGATTTTGTAAATATTATGCGGTTAGGCTCTAGTCTCTTTCTCAGTGAGGCTCTAGTACGCATGTGGGAGAACCACACTCCTGTACACATGTGGAAGAAACACACTGTTGTACACATGTGGGTCAACCACACTCTTGTACACATGTGGGAGAATCACACTCTAGTACACATGTGGGTGAACCACACTCTAGTACTCATGTAGGTGAACAACACTATAGTACACATGTGGGGGAACAAAACACTAGTACACATGTGGGAGAACCACACTCTGGTACACATGTGGGAGTATAAAACTCTAGTGCACATGTGGGAGAACCACACTCTATCACACATGTGGGAGAAACACATTCTAGTACACATGTGGGAAAACCACACACTAGTACACATGTGGGACAACAAAACTCTAGTACACATGTGGGTAAACAACACTCTAGTGCACATGTGGGAGAAAAACCTTCTAGTACACATGTTGGAGAACCACAGTATAGTACACATGTTGGAGAATCACACTCTGATACACATGTGGGTGAACAACACTCTAGTACACATGTGGGGGAATCACATTTTAGTACACATGTGGGTCAACAACACTTTAGTACACATGTGTGTAAACCCCACTCTAGTAAACATGTGGGACAATAACACTCTAGTACACATGTGGGGGAACAAAACACTAGTACACATGTGGGAGAACCACTTCTAGTACACATGTGGGAGAATCACACTCTAGTACACATATGGGAGAACCAAACTCTATCACACATGTGGGAGAATTACACTCTAGCACACATGTTGGAGAATAAAACTCTGGTAAACATGTGGGAGAACCACACTCTAGTACACATGTGGGAGAACTAAACTCTATCACACATGTTTAAGAACCACACTCTAGTAAACATGTTAGAAAACAACATTCTAGTACACATGTGGGAGGACCCCACTGTTGTACACATGTTGGTGAACCACAGTCTAGTACACATTTGGGAGAACCACAGTCTAGTACATATGTGGTTCAACCAAACTCTTGTACACATGTGGGAGAATGACACTCTAGCACATGTGGGTGAACCCCACACTAGTACACATGTGGGTGAACAACACTCTAGTACACATGTGTGAGAACCACACTGTTGTACACATATGGGATAAGACTCTAGTACACATGTGGAAGAACCACACTCTATCACACATGTGGGAGAATAACACTCTAGTTCAAATGTAGGAGATCCACACACCAGTACACATGTGGGAGACTTACACTCTAGTGCACATGTTTGAGAACTACACTCTTGCACACATGTGGGTGAACCAAACTCTAGTACACATGTGGGGGAACCACACTTTAGTACACATGTGAGAGAACAACAATCTAGTACACATGTGGGAGAACCACACTTTAGCATACATGTGGGAGAACCACACTCTAGTGCACATGTTGGAGAAATACACTCTAGTACACATGTGGGGGAATCACTCTCTAGTACGCATGTGGGAGATCCAAACTTTAGTACACATTTGGGTGTACCACACTCTAGTACACATGTGGGAGAACCACACTCTTGTACATATGTGGGTGAACCACACTGTAGTACACATGTGGAAGAACCACACTCTAGTACACATTTGGGAGAACTTCAATCTAGTACACATGTGGGAGAACCACACTTTAGCACACATGTGGGAGAATTACACTCTAGTACACAAGTGGGAGAACCACACTCTAGTACACATGTGGGAGAACCACACTGTAGTACACATGTGGGAGAGCCACACTCTAGTACACATGTGGGAAAACCACACTCTAGTACACATGTTGAAGAACTGCACTCTAGTACACCTCTGGGAGAACCACATTCTAGTACACCTGTGGGAGAACCACACTCTAGTACACATGTGGGAGAACCACACTCTTGTACGAATGTTGGAGAACCACACTCTAGTACACATGTTGAAGAACTGCACTCTAGTACACCTGTGGGAGAACCACATTCTAGTACACCTTTTGGAGATCCACATTCTAGTACACATGTGGGAGAACCACACTCTAGTACACATATGGTAGAATCAAATTCTAGCACACATGTGGGAGATCCACACTCTAGTACACACGTAGGAGATCCACACTCTTGTACACATGTGGGAGAACCACGTAAACCATGTTGTTTCAACCGACCACCGCTGGAAACGAACACTAGTGCTCGATGATGTTTTTGTTAAGCGCATTTACTAACCTCTAAGCGAGTGACGTTTAACCGCACCAGACCCGCACAACGACCGATTAACACCCGAGGACACAACGGGGACGACATTTCGAAACCTTTATACGACCGGCTCAAAACAGAGGTCAGTCAAACTTTTTACGTTTTTGTGCCCTTTTGGATCACCTCCGTCCCTTTACCCCCCCCCCCCCCCCCCACACCCCTCCCTCTGCCAGCACCATGGGTGAAACAACCAGTCTCAACGTACTCCCCATCAGATTTATCGTTCATATCTATCGGTCAAATACGCTACAGGTTTTCTCCAAAATCTAACACAACTAACTCCCTTGTGCGTTTTGTAAAATCCTAACGTTCACCACTGGTGAGTCAAAACCCCATAATCCTGCGAGCGATTATCTCCCCTGGTCCCGGCAATCTGTTGGCCATCTTTGTGTCTAACTGAACACTCACTCGGTCAGGTCGCGGTCAGCTGAGTGCTAACTTGCCTATTTGTCATTATCATCATCATTCACCCACATCTTCTTGCCGCACAGGACCCTGACAACTAGCTACCTTGAACTGTTGGGTTACTTCAATATTTCCTGACTGACTGAACACCCGGTCAGGTCGCGGTCAGCTGAGTGCTAGCATGCCTATTTTTCATTATCATCATCATTCACCCACATCTTCTAGCCGCACAGGACCTTGACAACTAGCTACAGTGAACTGTTGGCTTATTTCAATATTTCCTGACTGACTGAACACCCGGTCAGGTCGCGGTCAGCTGAGTGCTAACCTGATTATTGTAATCATCATCATTGACCGACATCTTCTTGCAGCACAGGACCCTGACAACTAGCTACAGTGAACTGTTGGCTTACTTCAATATTTCCTGACTGACTGAACACCCGGTCAGGTCGCGGTCAGCTGAGTGATAACCTGATTATTGTAATCATCATCATTCACCGACATCTTCTTGCAGCACAGGACCCTGACAACTAGCTACAGTGAACTGTTGGCTTACTTCAATATTTCCTGACTGACTGAACACATGAACACCGAAGCTTGTTTATCGCTAAGTTAGTAAAATGTATGTCATAAACATTCTTTTGAACAAAGTAAACAGAGTAGAAAACTTAACTATGTCATTCCAAAAACACGGTGAAGATCAAAACCTATTCTTCAATTTAAAGAAAACAAAAATATGTTCGTACATTATAAAACTTAGGAAATGTACGCTCCATAATTATTAGCGATCGAGAGTATTCGACAGAAGTGAAAAGGATGATGTCAATAGCAATACAAAGATTAAAATGCAATAAAAGTCCTTTTTTACATGCCAGCAAGTAAATCAAAGTTTAAACATTTTTAAACTTGCATCTTCTCTGTACCGACACAAGAGTGTGAGTTGGACTATCTCCAAGTCCTTAAGGACGAAAATTGGCACTTTTAAACTGAAATGCTATAGAAAGATTATCAGAATACCACGGACAAAGAAGAGAAGGAATACTGACATTCTAAAAGATCTGAACATCAAAGAAGTTTGGCTAATGAACAGCAGCTTGTCTCGGAATCTGAACTAATTTTGTTTGTAGCACCATTGGGGATTGGTACAAAATAAAAGTAAAAGGCATGGTACTAGGATCAAGGGACAGGGGCCGACAAGCACAAACATGGGCACAGGATATACATGACTCCTTGGATATGAATGTACACGAGGCGGGAGAGCTGACGAGAGACCGAGTTTCTTTCAGGAAGAGCGTAAGGAGAGCGATGTCCTGCAAAGGTCCTACTACATGATGATGATAACAAGTTGTTTTAGTCATTAAATTATAATTACAGGTCGAAATCTGGTACAGAGAAAGAGGACCTGGCAGTCGTCCAACAGCTCAGACCATCCAGAGTGGGGTCTGTCTGCAAACGCCATCGACGAAAACACAAGGAACATCTACGACGAGAACAGTTCCTGCAGTCAAACCGGTGTGCAGGCGAACCCGCAATGGGGAGTCGATTTTGGTTATCCAGTTGTGTTACAGAACTTGGAGGTCTATAATCGGAACAGTAAGGAAATCGCCTTGTCTGTACATTTCTTTGGTTTGTATCCTGTGTAAAATCCACTCTGTTAAGGTGAATTCTAATGTACAAACTAAAGACAAAAAACATCTGTTCCCAGTAACAGTTTACAAATGGTCCTGGAAAGGAAAGGGCGGGGGCGAGGGAGCGGTGCTAGAGGCAGGTAAAAGCAGTCGAAACAGCCGCTTCATCGAGACAAGGCTTGCCGCCGCACAGGAAACAGCGTTGGTTTCACTCCTTACCTATGACAAGTATTACACGTATTATGCTCCTGCGTAAAGGGAATTGAAAATGTAATATTGTCTATTCATAATCACAGTGAAGATCAAAATCTGTTCTTGAAGTTAAAGAAAACTAAAATAATGTCCACAGATAAAACTGGCTGCTACCCAAAAATAACAATAAATGATGAAGAAATTTAAAATGTCACAAACTTTTAGCTGTATGACAAAAAAAAAAAAAAAAAAGGATGACCATAGCAATGTAAAGATTCTTCTTCTTCTTCTTCTTTTCCATCTTGTACCTAATCGAAGTGTCGAAGAGGGGGTGGGGGGTGTAAAGTTCGTTGATGAGCTTTGTCAAAAGCACTATTAAGACTGATGTTCATTTCTATAAGGATGTTCCTAATGCTATCACTCAATTTTTCAGAGGTCTTCCTCTCGCTCTATACCCATTGTAACGTTTTAGTGTGGCCCGCTGTGACAGATTGTACCAGGGCATTCTTGTTAGGTGTCCAAACCAGTTAAATTATTATTCTTTGATGACCTGTAAGACAGGATCTATTAATAGCATTCGTCTAATTTCATGATTTCGTATTCTGTCTTTCCTTGAAACTCCTGCAGCTCTTCTAAGGCATTTTTTCTCTGTTGTCACAATTTTACGTTCATTGGAGGATGTAAGTGTCCACGCTTGGCATTGATAGCATAGTGTTGGCCAAACAATAGTTATGATAAGATTCACTTTAGTACTCCAAGGTATCTGCTTGTGTGTCAACAGGGGAGATAGTTGGGAGATAGTTGACCCATTACTTGATTAGCTTTGGCACATCTGGAGCTAATTTCTCTGTCCAGTTTTCCGTCGGATGTAAAAATTGCTGTCTCTCAGTCTTTGAGAAGGAGAATAGGGGCTTTTGAGTTGGAATGCTATCGAAAGATTCTCAGAATATCTTGGACAAGGAAGGGGAGAAATATTGATATCTTAAAAGATCTGAACATCAAGGAAGATTGGCTAGTGAACAGCATCCTGTCTCAGAAGCTGAAATATTTTGGTCATATCAAGCGCCACAACAGATTGGAGAAAAACAAATTATAGCAGGAGGCATGGTACCAGGAAGGAGGGACAGGGACCGACCGACACGAAGATGGGCACAGGATATAAGTGACTACTTGAATATGAAAGTACATGGTGTGGGAGATCTGGCGGGAGACCGAGTTTCTTTCAGGCAGACTGTGATGAGAGCGACGTTCTGCAAAGGATCTGCTACATGATGATGATGCTGATGATGTCTCCCTTACCCTAGTCACCGCCGCTGATGTATATGTAACAGGAACGCCGAGAAACAGCGAACACAACAGGTTCCTTCTGTCTTTATGTTTCTCATGGATGTCCGAGTTTCTTGAAATCGGTTAATGTCTTATATCAGTGCATGTTTGGAGCGTCTGTTAATATCCTGTCGGAATTTTTGGTAGTAATTGTTATTTTTTTGTCTGTGTGTGTGTGTGTGTGTGTTTGTGTGTGTAGAGATTATAACAGCTGGCCCGTGAGTCTCGACAATGCGGAGGGGGAAGAGGGAGTGTAGCAGCGTCCCTAGAAAAGTGTTTCTTATAGTGAGCGCTACCGCTCACTCATCAAGGCATAAAGTAATGTTTGAGGGCACACTTCACAAAACATAAATTAATAATCGAGGTGACACTCAACAAAGAATAAAGTAATGTTTAAGGGCACACGCAACAAAGTATAAAGTAATGTTTGAGGGCACACTTAGCGAAGCCATTGATCTATATTAAAAATACACTGCTCAGAAATTTAATTCCAAATAGTGTTAATGATTTTCACAGGTATTATTGGAAAGTAAGACAATCACAATGTACTAAATAAAGCGATCAACCATGAAGTGCATCAAAATAAAGTGGGCACCTTCAAGCTTGAAGTAGATAAACGAATGAATTAAGGTCATCAAATTTGACGAAAGACATGAATTACCTATCCATTTGTTTTTCTTTGATTCCAACATTCCTCAAATCGCCTGGGTGTGTTTGCAGTGAGCCTGCATAGCCAGGACAAATGGATGTTGGCAGACTAAAACATTGATCATTGATTATGTTGATCGTGTGAGATAGCGAAGCATCACAGCCTACACTTATAGACATGGCACATGGTGATGCTGCTGCTGCTGATGATGGTGGTGGTGATGATGATAATGATGATGACATGGAGAAGCCTTCTGTGATAGTCCTAGGGCAGAACCTGCCACACTGACAAGAGCATCAGTCAATTCTCTGACGTTGACTGAAGCGGAATAGATCTCCTCATGTAGGGAAGATCAAATCCACCGTCAAGTGGGCTCAGATCGGGAGACCTCAATGACCAATCCATAGCCTCAGTACATTCTGTCTCCATGAGCTCTTTAGTAGATCTTGCAGTCTAGCATTATCACAAGTCAGCAAACATTTCTCCCAGCAATACCAGCAGAGAGGCGCACAACGGGTAAGATCATTTCGCTGCAGTATCTTGCTGCCACCAGAGAGCCGGTCATAGTGCATCACGTCGCAGGCTTAATACGGCTCTCCTGACTATGGCCAAACTCTTACAATACAAAAGAGTAAATCGGCTGTCACCTGAACTGAAGAGTCTTCAGTAGCAAACTGGCTAATGATAGCATTCGAGGGACATCAGCTCCATCATTACATATACTAAGTATTGTCGGTCAACAGTTGCTGTTGGCTGTCTGATCAGCTCCCTTTACCTTTGGTGGTCAGATACGATGGACTTCATGGTTGCAGCTGTCGGTCAGCGCTGTACCAAGGGCTGCTCAGTTAGTTAACTCTTTGAGTCCCAGTGGGTTTAGCAACACGGGCCCAGGCAGTAGTCAAGACAGTCATAAAACCCGCTCATTATGCGTTCATTAGGCTTCTAGGTAGAAACCTATGAACGTATGATGCGTTACTTAGGACTCAAAGAGTTAAATTCTGCCTCCGGGGGGTATTTCGTAGCAGCCTCTTCTGATCTTCCGTTCTGCTGAGCATCGTAGTATTGTGTTTGAGAGGCCGCTCGATCTCTCCCTGTCCGTACCATAGCATTTTCCGCCTGTTCACTATAGTTAAAATTAGGGCTGAACCGAATATTCGCTTCGTATTCGCTTCGGGGCCGAATAGTGGACCCAATAACTATTCGGTATTCGGCCGAAGAGTTGCGGTCGGGCCGAATACGAATAGTGGTTGCAACCGTTTCTAGACTGGTGGGAAAAAAAACATCAAGATTTCCCACCTTGGTTTATACTGTCAAGCGTTATCTTTGTGCACCACCTACGAGCGTACCAAGTGAACGTTTTTTTTTTTGGGGGGGGGGGGGGGGGGGGGTTGTTACCCCTTTATTTCCATCTTGTATGTGTTGCGAGTATAGTGTTTTTAGGTGAGTTGCTGTAGAAACAAAATGCAACACTTAAAGATGTAAGAAGGGCAGAAAAGCAAGTGTTCTAGTGTTGTCGGCCTGATATTTTTGAGTGGAGAGTCCTCTTCGTTGATTGTTTGAAGTAACGGGAGTTCGTCATCATTTATGGGTGTCGTAACTGTTCTTTCGTCATCTGGTGGAAACGGCAGCGTCTGAATGTTTTGATCGACGTTCGGTTTCTTCGTTGTCTTTGTTGTTTGATCTTCTGGCGTTGGCCGCTCGGCGTCTGGATTTTTCGTCTGCAATAATTTTTTCGTTGTTTGATCTTCAGATGTTGGCTGCTCGGCCTTGTCCGTCTCCGTGGCCGCAGTGGTCTTTGATGTCTCTATCATGAGCTAGCAGGGGGGGGGGGAAGGGGGAGAGGGGCTGGGCGACTTGTGAGGACGGCATTGTTTTCTTCGTCGGCGTTATTTTTGTTTTTGATGTCTCGCCTTGTGGGTTTTTATCTTGACTCTCTGTATTTGTCGTATTTTCCTGTTTAGTACAGCTGGAAATATCTTCAGTGAGAAAAAAAAAAGCTGCCCTAATGCTGACAACATGGAACGAAGGTTTTTCATGGAGGTGTGTCAGCACACGAACTAATACGTGCTGCAGGAGATCGCAGATTGTGCCGAGGCATAATCGCCCATGCCAGCCGGCAAAGCACATGATGATGATGATTCACTATTCGTAATCGTATTCGGCCGAATAGTTGGTCCAGCTATTCGTATTCGGCTGAATAGTGAAAATCACTATTCGGTACAGCCCTAGTTAAAAGAGGTTTATAGTTTCCAGTCGAGCCGTGTTATTTATGCTGCGGTCTTTGTATGTTATGCCAAGAATATATCTGAAAGATCGCACTTCCGATGCTTACATCCTCTTTTCGAGGTTAACTGTTAAAGACCACGTTTCACAGTCATACGTAAATGTACAAATATCTAGTGCTCTGAGCAGTCAAAGCTCAGGTTTAAATGGAATATTTGTGGATCACTAGAATATTTGCAGTCTGACAAGGACTCAGGTTATCTGGTCAATCCTAATGGTACACAGTAGGGTGGCTCCTACCGTACAGTTTCAAAGGAGAACTGTGAACACTTTAGGCAAGGAATTAGTTCTCACAATGGAACACGATTGAAAGACTTAGTGAAATCTGAACCCTTGCCTAGTGAACACTTGGGTGGTGCTCTATAATGGACTGCCATGCACGCATGTTTTTGAATGCTACCGTTAATTAAACTACAGATAAACACGAAGCTGGAGACACAGTGATGCCCAAATCAAGGGTGACACGGACTGTCACTGACGAGGAAAGCCACCTGGGAATGTGTCACATGTGTCGG